TCTATCAGTCCAAATCAAAGCATTGTAGCAAGTTTAATATAAATATCATTCACTTATTTTAATTTTTTAGAAGTCGGTATTTTTTTTTTTTTATTCAGAATTGTGGATTTACTAAAAGTATTCAAAATACTTTCAGCAAACAGTTTTAATTAGAGATGCAGACATTTCTCAAGGGTAACTACCCTCTTATAGCATATAAAATTTGGGTAACTACCCAGTTATGGCTATGCTATATGTTATTTCACGTTCTAATATCTGCACCTTTAGTTTTAACTATAACTTATAAAAGGATAACTCTTTTACATATACATAATCGATTGTTTATCAGTTCATTGTAAAATGTTCACCTAAATTCAAACAATAGAAATAATTGATTAGAATTATGGTTAATTTTTTTTTTAAAAATAAAAATTTTAAAAGCTATTATCCTGTTCAATAGTCTTCATTGTTCTATAATGAAGCAATATATTTCTGAATAGAGCTAATATTTTGTTATTAGTTCTATTTAAAGCCTAAATATTCTAAAAAAAAAATAAAAGAAAAAAAACAAACACTATCAAAATAAAATTTTTTTCTATACTTGACATAACAATGAATGCTAAAAAACGAAAATCCAAAAACTATACTGACTCCAATGCAATATCGAATTCTGATACTAGTCCTGAGTATAATGATACTTCTAGTGATGAATTATTAAGTGAAGATAATATTAGTGCAGACCTTAATATTATTACAGATCATTCTGATAAAACTAGTGATACAGACCATTCTAATAAAAATAATAATCCAAACCTTCTAATAAAAAACCTAGTAATAAACCTAAATTGTGAAAAAACTCTAGTTAGGTTTTGCAGTATTTTTGCCAAAGACATCCATTACGAAAATGGAAAATACATAGAAATTGTACCATAATTGTGAAAAGTAATAAGGCACCAAATGGGCAACAGGAATGTGGGTAGTTAGTTAAGACTCAGGGTTCAACTAGCAACTTTCAAACATATTTAAATACACATAAAATTACTAAACCTACAAAAGTTATTAATACAATCGAACAGCCAACAATTACTGAAATGTTCTATCATGCTGCTGGACAAAATACTCGTCAAAAAGAATCTATCAATTATGCTTTAGTAAAATGGATAGTTACAGATTTGCAACCTCTTTATGTTTTGAAAAATGAAAGTTTTATTAAACTTATTCATACCTTAAATCTATATTACGAACTTCTATCTGATAAATATGTAAAAACGCTAATTCATCAAAGTTATAATTATTCAATAAAAAATCTTAAAATGCTTCTAGCAACAGAAATAAAAATATGCAAATTAACATGTAACTTATGGACTGCACGTTCTAAAAGCAGATATATAGGTGTTACATATCATTTTATTAACTCTAATTATGAATTAAAAAAAGCTATACTTGCAATTAAATATGCTCTATATCCTCATGATGCTGTAAATATTAAAGCTGAATTAGAAGAAATAATTAATAACTGGAGGCTTTCTGAAAAGGTAATTTCGATTACTACTGACAATGCTACTAATATGATTAAGGCTATTAATTTAATGGATGTAGATTGGGTTCCTTGTATGGCCCATACGCTTCAGCTTGCTATTGGTAAAGGGTTAAAACCTGCAGAAGTTTTAATAAAACGTGCAAAAAGATTGATTAACTTTTTGAGTATGTCTAAACAAAATGAGCAATTACGAAAAGCACAGGAATTATTAAAAATTTCAAAAGAAAATATTGATAACAATGAATAAGAATTTTATCGTGCAATATCTGATACTCCAACTTGGTAGAATTCTTCGTATATCGCATGGAAACGGCTTTTTCAAATTAAGCGTACTTTTAAATTAATAAAAGCAACTATGAGTGCAGATAATGATTATATTATTCGTAAAGATGCAATTCGCTTAAAATTCTTAATGATTACAGAAGAAGAATAGAAAGTTCTTGAAGAATTAACTATAATTTTGGCCTCTTTTGCTGAGATTACACAATTGCTAGGAGGTAGTAATTATACTACATTTAGTTTTATATGGCTAGCAATCACTACCCTTACTAGAAATTATACACCATTGTCAATGAGTATAAGTAATGAAGAGCTTGATTTAACAAATATGTTAACTATTTTTGATGAAGAGGAAGAGAATATAGTCGATATGGATAAAGAATTGGAAATAATTATTACGGCTAATGGAGGTAGGTTTAATCTTAGTCAACCTCAAAATATGGATAATCTAGTAGAAAAAGTAAAGGAGAGTTTATATAAAGCATTAGACCATTATTAGGACGCATCTCTTGATTGTTCTTTAATTGCAATGTTACTTGATCCACATTGTAAATCAATGAAAAAATTAGATAGTTGGGAACATGACAAGGCTATTAATCTTTTGCGAGAAAAATATGATTTACTTAGCATTAGAAATGAAAGTATTACTAACTTGGTAAATGTAGAAAAAAATAATAATCAAATGAGCCTTTTTTCAATAATGTTTGGGTCAGATATAATGTCAACATCAGATAAAAATGAAGTAGACGAATATCTTAAAGTAGATCAAATGCCAATTACAACTAATCCACTTAACTGGTGGAAAGATGTTCAAGAAAAATTTCTGATCCTTGCTAATTTGGCAAGAAAATACTTGGCTATACCTTCCACATTAACTCCCAGTGAATGCTTATTTTTGAGTGCGGGTAATTTAATGACAGCAAAATATAAATCAATTAACACTCGCTTATTTGAAAGAATTCTTTTTCTTAAAC